CTCATACCTTGCTGCATATGATCCGATCAGCTCTGTCTGATTTTGGAGTGGTTTCTTATTTAAGTCAGTACTGAACTTGAACGCAACATTCTGATCCCAGTCTCACGATGTATGACACTGGAACCTACTCACACCATTTAGCACAAATGCAGACCAACGATACTCACCTTACTGTTGTAGAGATGGCCGCTGAATGACATCGTCCTCCTCTGCAGGTTGCACCTTCGTGGCACGGTGGACGTCTGGCCAGCCCTCATTACTACTTTCTCCCCCAACGTATCTCTGTCTTCCTCAGCGCCCTCCTCATCTGCTCCGTTGTCGGCCCCCGCTCCCGTCTGCTCCGAGCTCCTGTCAGTGTGCGTCTGGCCAGACGGCTTCTGATCCTCACTGCTCCGACTATCTGATTCCTTGTGATCTGATGGCTTTGTGACGGAGCCTTTATTCTCGCCACCACTCTTCAGGATGCTAAGGAGATGCTCGTCCAGGCCATTTTCGAACACGACGCGCGTGCTTCGGCGTTTCCAGCTCAGCTCTTCCTGTTTCAGGCGAATCACTTTTTGCGTTCCCCAGTAAATCTTGAGCATGCCAAACAGAACAGGCATTCCATTCTCCTGCAAAAACCACAACATTAAAAGCCAAGTGCTCAACAAGGTTTCCCAACCCTGCATGGAGGGGCATTAGACAATTTTTGTCACATCATGTGCTTGGATACTGTAATTTCGTTGGTGGAGAATGTATCACCTGGCTGATGTAAAAAAAAATCATGTTTCACGGGTCAACCTCATAAAACACTTCATGTTGTAAGCACAAGCCAAGCCCGCATGCACACTTGAGACTGGGAACGACAACTGCTTATCCAACAGGAAAGCCTGCAGTTATCAGAGGTTGACGCCGGGATTTATTTCATTTCTTGCCCTGCGAGGATGTAACAAAACAATTGTTGACTGCATTGATGTGGTACATGTAATTTTTCGACCTCCTCCTGTACATAAGCATGGAACTACTGCACAGTGGCATAACTACTGACTGGTTGGGGAAGGTCACGTACCCCCCTCTCCTCAGTAGAAGTCCTGTCCCCATGCAGTCTTAGCTACAAGAGAAAGTGAATCTGCTTCCAGCTAGAGTCGCTATGACAAAACAGGGAGGGGAGCACAGGCTTCACCTTAGTGCTGTCACTACCTTACCACCACAGTAAAGTCATCTCATAAACCTTTTGCAGGTTAAGTTTGAATAAAATCTGGTGTCCGAGTTTTTTAAATTCACCTGAACATACCAATTTGAATTCTCCGTACTGAAGACACTACTGGTATACCTCATGATTTGGGGCAAGCTTTTCCTCGGTATAATGTACATGTACATAAGAGACAGCTTGCCTCAATACACATTATTTTTTCAATGGATAAGAAGGGCACAAAGGAACCAGTCCATTCCAGGGACGGTGGTCGCTATGCAAAAGGTTACTCTGAATCCCGAGGTATAGCAACAGCATTAGCCTGGGGAATTCAAATTGGTATGTTTATGTGCAATCAGATTTACAGCTAAATCAGGGTACCAGATTTTGTTCAAATTTAACTCCCAAAAGGCTTACTCTGGTGGCTGGATATGTCTTGGGCTGTACGTACATGACGTTCTTCCGCAATGGTCATTGGGAACCTGCTCACCTGAATGACTTCCAGTTCCTGGTTGGTCTTGCTGTCACTCAGATGCATGTTGAATGTTTTCAACTGGGACATGAACGTTCCACTGAAATGACAAATGATATCATTCAATTACAATAGAAACCAGCAAACACTGCAAAGTGGAAGTAAAAGTGGAACTCTAGTCAGGGGTGCAAAAGAAAACAAAAGAGCCACAAATTAATATCTAAACAATGGAACGTTCGATCCACTAGAAATTGAAGCTGTGCAGCAAGCACAACTGGTGAAAACGTCAACACTTGATTGTCCAGTGTTTACGTAACATGTAAGACACATATACAGGACTTTTACTTTCAGTACAATGAGTTTATTCATGTAAAGACCGATGAGGAAATGTACAAACCTTTGAATGATGGTTCTGTAGAACCGATCTTGGTGTTCCTGCAGATCTTGGGAATCCATAGGGCTTCAGTATGGTAGGCACGTTGACATCCAGGAAAACATAAACATCAGCTGCAACTATCTGGCAGCAAGCAAATCCGGGGAAAATTTCACCACAGACTAGAATTTTTAAAACTCACCCCTACAATGCGACTTGTGCTACAAAGTACAGTGTACTGTGCATGTCACATGTACATGTACACACAAAATACGTGCATTTCATTCAATGGGGAGCCTAAAAGTTTCTGAAAAGTATTCTTTTCCTTGGATTATAAAGTCAATGTGATTTTAAGCAACAGTGTCATTAGTGAGGCTGGAATTATGCTGATGCTGGACAGATCAACAGCTGTCATGGGGGAAAAACAGTTTACCTACATCGTTGGAACTGCATGTAACCTGCAGAAGGCAAATTCAGGCCAGACACTGTGGAGCAAATGAGTGTAATGTCACCACGTTGGTTTTCCCCCTAGACAAAATGCATTGGGCAAGCTCCGAACTTTCTCGACGTGGTTCGAGACTACAGTTGTTACTTGGAAAAAAAAATTAGTCGCTGTCGGTCAAGCATTTGTCACATATCCGTGTGGCGGTGCGGTAGCACTTGGAACTAGACCACTTCCCTGGTGTTGTGTAAGCCACAACTAAGCCGCGTTGGGCCGGCCTCTCACAATACAAGGCAGGTCAACATCCTGTGGTAATACCAATCTAGGCCACCCATCCAGTCCTGTTGAATTATGCTGTGATGTGCATTGCCCAGCTTGTCTTGCTCTGCCGGAGCATACTGCTGGCGAAAGGACTGATTATGAGCCAGAAGCAATCCAGTACAGTCTGGAATATAATATGTGCTTCTTTGCAAATTTCTTTAAGATGTACAAAATGAAAGTGTATAAACAAACAGTACATGTACATGTATTTGTACACGCAATGTATTCAACCATTGAAACCAGTAGCTGGGAAGGCAGAGAGGCACACTGGGGCAAGACAGAAATTTGAAGAAAAACTGTGCCAACGTCAGCAAAACTAGGACAGAGAAAATGAGTTAATTGGGCTTAAAATTCTATTTTATGATGGGAAAAAAGTCCTGGCTGTGCACTGGCTACAATTGCTATTTTTAAAGCAATAACTTTAGGTTTAGATGTTTGATGCATTCAAAAAAAGAAAAGAAAAATTTACGAAGGAGTAAAGTTAATTTGGGTGTTGAAAAAAAAAGAACAAACTAACAGAATCTGAAACTGAGTTTTGTGCATGGTTAGATGTGGGAAGAGGACCTCAGTATTTTAGAGCCAACATTTCTCTTGGCCAAACTTGATTTCGTTGCAACAAGGTCAGGATAATTAAGAAAATAAATCCAAACATGTCATAATAAGGTCACATGGCTAAAACAGCCACATTGAGTTCTGAACAAATGAATCATTTCTATATGACACACAACTTGTGTCCTTGGACAATCTAGTCACTACATGTACATGTAGGTCCCAGTCTAATATACAACCATGATGTACATGTACATTACACTCGCATGCACCCATGTGACCTTTGAAGGAAGGAAGGCACAAAGTACAGTACAGTACATTTATAATGAGTCAAGGGAAGTCAACACTAGTCTACTAACATTTTGCAATGTGAATACATGGACAGTTTCACGCTATCAGTTCTGTCTGTCATTTCTATACATGTATGTGCGAAATCTGTTTGCAGTTTTGATCAAATCAATAAACTTACATCATACTGGTAATAACTACTGCTCATTAATCTCTGTGACCTGGGTTCAAATCCTGCCTGGGTCAACAGCTTGATTGTTTTCCAGTACCTAGGATGTCAGGCACATCTCTCTGCCCGACTCCATTCAACCAAGTACACGCGAAACTGAAAATAAAAATCTTCCTTGTTATCTCTTTGTACTGGTTTCTCAAGGGCTTAGCACTTTGGGGGGCCTTCATTTTATGACCAGAAATAAAAAGAAGCCTATCACGACAGTGAAAATGCTAATCTAACAAAGTAACAAAATCAGTATACTCTTCCATTTCCCTCTTGTCCATGTTTCTTCTTACAATCTGCCATTTTTCCCCTCTCCTAAATCCTCTTTTCTTTACAACAATTGGACACAGTTGGGCAATCACCTGATTGTGTTTGATGTCTGTACATGGCCAATGGAGTGTTTAAAAACATGAAGTAAAATTATTGAACAAAATGGGTCAGAAATTTGTCATTTTAAGACTTGTTTTGACCGACTCAAAAAGGTGTTTATGATTGGGAAAATGTATGTGCCTGGCTGGTCACGGTAAACTAAAGTATACGACTGGACAAGCGCATTTATTCCCAAATTAAAAATCAGGAAATCACTATGGTGATTGCTTGGGTACCGGGATTTCAATGAAATTTAATACTCATGACGTTTCCTCTTGAATTGAAGCTCTGAAATGAAGCTTACACCACACAGGTGTTCATTCAATATCAGGACATGGGAAATAAGCGTTTTCATGGTAATACATGGAGGCCTGGGCGCTTTCATGCTCAGCCTAAAAAGAACACACATGCTCATGGTTGGACATGCGGGAAGTTTGGTGCCATCGAACAGCATGATGGGCCGGGTAAACGGCCTTTTGCAGTGTGTTAAAAGATGGCATAATGACGTCATGCCAGGAGTGCTGAGCATAGATGCCAATCCAATACTTTCGTGCTTCCAAATATTTTGTGTTCATTCCAATATGCGCTTGCATTTAGTAACTCATGTTCTTTTTGCCTCTATCCAACCCAAGCTGAAGTGCACCCCCAATCGGCAAAAGACAGACAGACCTGGTTACAAGCGGGTTCTTACAAGCGTTATGCGTGTACGCAAAGACCATACAAGCCGAATTAAATTAGTTACGTGAACTCAGAGTGCTCCGTGTCAAACGTGCATATACCTGCACGTCTCATGGCGTGCCTATGCAGTGAGTACCCCAAAAAAACACGCCCTCATTTGTTCCACTCGGAGTGGATGACAAGATGGCGCAAACATGTATGGCTGTGAAACTAACCTTGGAGGAATGAAAAATACAAACACTAGGACTAACATGTGTGATGGTGTATATAGTCTTCAGGAGTCTTATTTCGCGACATACTGTGAAAACCAATGAGACTTGACAGTAGGTGGCGAAATTAGGGAACCTGGTGACTACACGGTCATGCACGTTACATGTACATGTACTATGTAGGCTAGGCCTACCTGTACCAGGAAATAAAAAGGCAGTTAGCCTGAGTGCCGAGAAAGTTGTTTGTTCAATTGTACTTGTAGAGAGTCTGCTGCAGTGTGTGTTATTCACTGTACATAATTATTATAACCTCCATTCAGCCATACCATGATTACATCTGATCTGTCCCTGTAATCTAAGGAAGAAAGGCCCGGACCTCGGAATTCAATCACAGTGCAAGTTTAACTTCCCGGGCTTCTGGGTCAAGTTTGCATAGGTCTACACATGTACGTGTATTGCGATTGATGGTGTTTGCTGTAATGAACACAACACAAACACTGCCTGCAGCTGGATGGACGTCTGTTGGCAACACGTCACTCAAACATGTCAAAAGCAATTTCTTTCTACGTGTATATTCCTTTCTATTCTGTAAAATTTCACTTCAAAAGGTCTAATAAAGGCTAAGATTACTTACAATTTATCACTCAGTTCGACTGCGGTAAAGTTGCCTGGTACCTATTCATTACATGCAATTTTGTGACCGATGTCCGTTATCGGTAATCCCCACAACAAAATGACGGCGTATTCCATGTTGTACATAACCTTAACCACTGATAGTGCGGTGAAGTACGTACATATTATTTATGTAGTCTTTTCTCAAGGCGTTTTACTCTTCCTCCCTGTTGTTTTTGATACTCTATGGTTGCGAGAGGGCGTCGTTGAAATTCGCAGTCACACGTTTTCACTTCATCCCATCAGCGATCAGATGATGTTTTGAGAGCACAACTCCCCTCCCCTCCGCGTGAAAGGGTTGGCGTGCCTTGGTATTTATTTGATGGAAAGCCGACTTTAAACTGACAAAAATTCCCCCTTCTGTATGTGAAAAACAGCTGACCATTTTAATTGATCATCGGTGAACGACTCGAACGGCTGGCATAAAACGATCACCAATAAAAGAAAGGAAGAAAAAAAAAAAGAGGGATTCTTCACTTTCAATAGGCTGCCAGTCCTGACAAAAGATACCTTTCGTTTATTTTATCATAGGAGTACTGGGTAGGAACTACTGTAAAAGATTAACCAACAATTTACGAACTAAAAAGAAAAAAATACGTTTTGCCCCCCAAAATTATATTAATAATTCTTGGTAAAAGAAAGGCAGAGAAAATTCTATTTTGGTGAAAGAAAAACAGATTACTACTCTGCATCTTCCATAAATGTACAGGGGGGAATTGATTTCAGGACTTTGTGGACATGAATTTTGCGATGCCGTGAAATGATTTTTTTCTGGACTGATGTCAATTCAGACCCACCATACCGGTAGTATTAGCGTTGATTGTTGTGTGTCAAATGCATGTCACGCATAAATTACTCGCATACTATGGTGATCGTCGACATCATGTGAACGCTGGTAACTCAACTGTAGATAAATCTTCCCAACGTTCCGTCAGTGCTGTATCGGTCTTTATTATCATCCGATGTCATTTATCTTACTCTTTTTACGTGTTCTGTTGTTTGTAAGTACACCCTGATATATTTTGAGTTCCTAGAAGTTCATTTGTGTCTCCTATTTGAACAATTTTTGGACAATAAAACTTCGCTTCAATTTCCGTATGACTGTGCGGTGGCTTGGAGCATTGGAGGTCAGTTGTTAGGTATGCTCGTTACACCCGTTGACACCTTGTGTCACTGCCCCAACTGTGTCCACGACCTATGCTACCGCCAGGACACAGCTTGGAAAGAATTCCATGCACGGACATCACTTGACACGTGCACAAACCCTATGACTACGAGACTTGTCCGAAAGAGTCTGTTCTATGAACTGGATAGGCCAGTGTCAGGTGTAGCCTGCATGCATTGTTTGCGCTGACTGTACTGAAGCATACCCTCTCAAAGTTGACTATGAATGCCAACCCCAACCTGTGTATTGGGTGCGATTGGTAGATCAGAACGATTGGCCGTCAGTTGATCTTGTTGGAAACGTTGGACTTTACTTTTCAAAACTATCGACTTGTAGAACCAGAGGTGTGAACTTTGTTAGATTTTTCTATTCAGTTGATTGAAAAACCAAGTTTCTGAAAATAAAAACTTCCTTTCAGTTGGTGAGAGAGAATGGTTAAAATCTTCATTCATTGGGAAATTCTCTTCGTTTTTTAACCATCAGGGTTAATTCACAATGGCTAGCTTGTATCAGAGTCTAGCCAGTCGGAGCAGACAAACAGCATCTCGTGTATGGCAACCGAGGAACACCAGTTCCATCATATTCTCTAAGGGATTGCTGAATGCGCCGGGAGAGAACAATTGTTTCCTCAACAGTGCCGTACAGGTGTGTATGTTACAAAACGAGGTAGTAGTGAGTACAGGTGTGCCAAATTAAACAGACTTCTTGCATTAAATTGCACATCTACGGCATTGATGTACGTATAAGTACTGCCGCTGTAACAAAAGTTGGAAAGGATTCCACAGTCACAAATTTTGAGTAGCATGGACACCAGAAGGTTTACCTTACATTTTAAACTTGTTCCACCAAGGTACTGAACCCTCTCCTTGCTAAAATGTCCCTGGAATTAACAGGTGTCCCTTATTAAACGTGGTGTGCACGGCTCTTGAAATGTCATGTACAGGATGTTTATTATGTACAATGTGGACATTGTTCCTCTCATTGTAGGTACTGTGGCATCTAGATGTATTTCGAAGGAGTTTTCGGCAAATGGGTGGACATGCCTGCATGGGTAATGCCTGCATCTTCTGTGCGTTGAAGGTAAGAAGCTGTGAATTCTGAAATACTTGTAGTGGAACAGACTGACCCAAGTGTCAAGCAACAGTTAGCATGTGTGCTGGAGGTGATCGGTTCCACCAACAGCTCAACTGTGACCCAACCTAGGAAAGAGAGTCGTAAGTTTCCAGAGCCACTTTTGAGTCGAACGTCTTTTGAATCTTGCCTAATGGAAATCAGTAGGAACCCTCAATATTTTCCACTCTCAGAATGTCCATTTTCATCAGGATGTTCCAGATTTTAAGTTAGACAACTTCACAGATTGTCAAATTTAAGCCTAAAGTGACATTTGAAATGGCCCTATATTCCACCAGTACTGCACTAACTCATAATTAACCTCTTACCCAAATGTGCCAGATTTTGACATACTATGTCATGTTGTTGACTGTTTCCATGAACTAGACAAAAGAATCACAGGACGCAGCCCTTTGGATGCTGTTCACGACTTTGTTGATGTGCTGTTTTCCCTTCAAGGTCTTATTCACTCAGTTGCGGTACAGTGAGCGGCAGTCTCTACCACCTGATGCTCTCAGGAAGGCCCTGGCAGTAGCATTTCAAGATGAACATCGCTTCCAGCTCGGCTGTATGGACGATGCTGCGGAGTGCTTTGTGAGTACATTTGCAATGCAGGACCAAGGTATTGTGCTGCATTTCCCAAAGCCAAATGTTTCAGCAGCATGGATGGCAAAGTTTCAGAGACCATCAACTTTGACTGACCTTTCTTTGTATTGTGCTGCGTGTACTTGTGAGCAGGTGAGAGCAGGTAGACTGTGGGCTGTGTTACTGAGAGTGATGGTATGTGTTCGTCAGGAGCTTGGTCAAAACCTCAGAAAATATGGATCATCCAAGTTACCATTTTTAACATAGCTACTCCCTTCTGAATTATTTGTGAGTAAATCAAGGACTCACATTCAGACAGGATGGAGTTTCCTGACCAGATGATTACAAAACAGTTTGTACTTTGTATCTGTTTTCAGATTTATCTTGATGTATTGTTGAAACACGGCTTCACTGTAAGCGAACAGTTAGGCCTCTTTGTGGGTAACAGCCACTGTACCATTTTTAATCTGGAAAAAAAATTTTGTATAAGTAGTTCTTTTGGATACAGCAGGCAATGACTAAGCCAAATTTCATCAAATTAATGAAAAGCAGTTCATAAAATATGCTGAATTGACATGGATATTACAAAAGGTTGAGTCACGTAACTGGAAATGCTTTTTTGGGGGGGCAATTTGGCCTAATACCCATTTCTACTTGTATTGATGCTTTTTTCCTGCCCAGGAGAATATCTTGACTCGTATTCACTTCCATCTTGCCCGTGACATCAAGGAGGATTTGTGTGACGCCAAATACTGCATCCCACATCGCAAGTTTGCTATGACCCTCATTGAGCATGTATGTATAGTCAACAGATAATGCACTCCACTCTTTCAACTTGTACTTTGAGTAGATTAACACTGGGATTAAAAAGCAATGTCATTTTACTTTTCCAAAGTAATTTCAAGAAGTTTGGGTACTGGAAATTATAAGAACATTTTAGGAAGTGTGACGGTAGATGCATATGTGTTTGAATCATCTTAGGTCTCATTTGTTGGCAAATTTTTAAGGCAAGTATCATTACAATGACAATTTCAAAACTCCAGTAAAGGAAGTTATTCAAAAACAGCGGTTGTTCTTTTCTTCAGTCAATTAAAAAAAATCACTTGGAACAAAATTAAAAGAGGGGAAAATCATAAGTTTAGGGTAAAAAGAATCTCGTGGCCCAATGAATAGGGGGTTATAATTGAAAACCTCTGTGGCATCATGGAGCCTACATAAACAACACATATTGTCATATGATTTACAGAGTGTTTGCAGGTGCGGAGCTACATCAGAACCATTTCCCTTCACTCAGATGGTACATTACGTGTCCTGTACTGCCTTGTGGTAAGCCCATGCCCTTAACTATTTAGAACTGTAGTCGAGTCCCACCTGAACTTCCTGAGTACCAAGTGTACTGCAAGATCTTGTGCCGGTCTGATTTAGATAAAGCTGCTTGATAAAAAACTTTGGAATGTGAATACTTACCTTAAGAAAGCAAACGGAGAACTTTGAAGCAGGTTCAGTGTAGCAAGGGCCAGCCAAATATAAGATTCGACAACGGCTGATCAGACTTTGTTTTGCTGTTTGTACTCGTACGTGTACAGCGCTGAAGCTAAGAAGTTGAAGGAGAAACACCATTGGAGTAATTCTGTCTGCTTTGGTCACGTGTTGAGAAATGCTGGCGCTCTGGGAGATATCCGGGATTGTCCGGTAGGAAAGGTCCTATCTAAAGACAGTAGTGATTAATGGAGTAGGTCATACTTCTCTCTGTAGCATGTGTAGAATATATGAAGGTAAAGAACAACTTTATTTATATCCGCTAAATGAAGGCCAATGGCAGCGCTGGTAATTTCTCACTTTCAACAGAAATAGTTACCAAGTACAACACCCACATGTACAAGTCTGCTACAGATTGTAGTTAGAGAGTTTCCCCACTGGTGCTGTATTTCTAGAGTTCCTATCATTTCAGAGAAAAAATGTTGTGCCATTTGTTAAGTGTACTGTAAAAATCAACTTGCGAGGTAACTTTTCCAAGTGGCGATGGATGCCGGACTTGGTTATAGACTAATCTAATGAGAAACCATTACTGCAGTGGCTCCACGCTCATGCACGCTTCCATGAACTCGAGGTGTAGATGCATTTGTTAGTCACAGCAGCCTGGTCGTTGAAGAAGTATCACACACACAACTTCCATGCTGGAATAGTACCATCACAGTAACGGCTTGTAATCCTAGTTGCCGGATTAGTCTACAGACTTTGTGTATGATTATCAGGGTGAAGCTGGCCTTGTTTCCCGTTTACTTCTGGAGGAAAGTTTAATTGAGAAGGTTCATGTTTTTTTTTTTGTTAGAGTGAATGTGGAAGGAAGATCAACATCAGAAGGGTGCTGATGAATAGCCCCGATGTTGGTAAGTTGGAATCTTGAGGTGCGTTCGCGTGGTTACTCTGGTAGGATGCTTGCGCATTACACTCGGGTATATGAGTATACTCTCCCTCAAGCGAGAGTATACTCTTGCTGACCCTCGGGTCGTACTCCAGCTGTTCAGGTGCTCAGGAGTATACTCGTGTTAACGTGAGTAGCTCGCTCGAACGCATCCTTGTAATTTGGGTTCATTCTATCAATTTAAGGTCCAATTTTTTCCTGTCCCTGTTACATCTGGTTTATGATTTTTTAAGTTTAGAACTTGCACTTAAATTTCCAAGAGTGCATAAGTACTGCAAATTACCTGCCACACAATTTACACAAAAATAGCTGGAGATCAACTTTATTGATACGTAAAATACGTACGCTTAAATTTCCAAGAGTGCATAAGTACTGCAAATTACCTGCCACACAATTTACACAAAAATAGCTGGAGATCAACTTTATTGATACGTTTGTTTGTCCATGCTTTCTGCAGTGGCCATCGGCCTGGTTTGGGACAGTGACCGGCCAGAGAAGGACCACATTGTGGACGTCATTGACTGTCTTGGCACATCACTACGGATGCCGGATGTAAGTTAAATAAGTCACAGTCTTGAACAAAATCCCTATCAAACGTGTAACAAGATGACTCAATGTGTCCATTTTCCAAACTGTTCTTTCAGTAATTGCTTAGAATGTATGCATTTCCAAGTAAAGTTTGACACTGTTATGTTACTCAGTTTCGACATCCATATGTACGTGTACATAAAAGTAATGTAGGGCCCTGAACATGGAGGCTCGTAGATGTAGGTGACTCTTCTTGAGCTCTGTTAGGGCAAGGGACAGTGTTGGCCTTGGGTTGCCAAGCTCATGCGTGTAAAATATATTACATGGCACATCTAGGTCTTGTGAAATTTTCGTCTGAGCAAGCAACCTGTCTTGTGAGAAAATGAACTCTCTTCGTGGTTGCAACTCATTAGGGCTTGCCATCAGTTGATTTGAGCCCTCAGCCCCCGAATAGGAAGAAAATATTATGAAATGAATAAATAAAATGGAAAAACGCACACATTTATCCGGACGAAAAGCACTCTCCTTAAAAATTTAATGTGGTACGTAACAAGACGAAAGCTGATTGTCATCACAAATTGGCAGTTGTAATTTACCTTTCATATTTGGAATGTTTTGAAGCCTGAGTTTCATTCATTTAAGAAGGACCTACGACTGAAATACATTGATTTAGTTTGTCAAAGTTGATGCTTCAGTGATATCCACACGTGCTCATTTTACTGACCGATGTGTTTCACTTGTTTTCAGTTATTTAATTCTGTCGTCGATGAAAAAGCGAAGCAGGCTGCTCTTCACTTGGTGGGTGTGGTTACATACTACGGCAAACACTACTCAACGTTCTTCTACAACACGGCGCTGAGAGTCTGGGTGTACTTTGACGATGCGACTGTCAAACAGGTAACAGAGTGCCAGGCTGACTTGTGGGTTAATATAGGTGATTGCTGGCCAACAGTGCACATATCTCTACTTAAAATAGGAGTGAAAGGTACAGATATTACTAGCAAGTAACGATTCCAGACCAAAAGAGGTTCTGTATTTCTGCACTGTGAATGACTCCTGTAGACATGCCATTCAGGAGCAAACCAATCTGGATCGGATGATAAAATGAGTCCATAGGTTATGTTTTCAGTATCGTTTTGATCACGTTAGAAAGAAGTAATTTAGGTCACTGTTGCAATGCATCACTTAGATATTTGTAGATGAGTAGCTGGTTTCACGATCAGTCGAAGTTAGTATCACTGTGCTTGTAATGTTGTGCAAGCAGTTCTCGTCAATTATTTTAGCCTTAGTCACGCCGTTGACATCTTCATTTCTTGCATTATGCATTCCTCCTGCCTCTTTCTTTTGACGAAGGTTGGACCTAACTGGAGGGACGTTGTGAACAGATGTAAGCGAGGCCACTCCCAGCCGTTGCTGCTTCTGTTTGCTAATCCTGACGGCACTCCCGTACCAACAGACACGGCTCCCAAAGAAACCACATTGTTACCTGGTTATACCAAGATGAAAAGTCCCACAGGTACTCCCAACGTTAATGTTTGCATTTCATCTCAGATGGAAATGTGATATTCACTTGAAACTTTATCAAAGAAACTTTGCCATGGAACATCAGATGCAGATGTTCTTTGTGTTGCGCATAGATTTTGATTGATGAATAGGGCCAATCAACCTATTTTAGTATGTGATGAAATGATTACAAAAAAAGCAAAATGGTACCAATAAAATGTCTTTCATACCCTAATCTTCAAAGCAAAGTTACTGTCTTCATAGTGTGAGTGTGTCTGACTGAATTGTATATTCTCAGCTTATTTGGTTTCATTTTGATCAAACAATCTGCAATATTTATCCCAAAGTTTGAAAAATCTAAAGCCCACTATGATCAATAATTCAAAGTGTTAACTGTTTTCTTCACAGATGTCAGAAGTTCAAGAACCCATTTAGCACATGATCCCCACAAAGCCTCAAATGCCGTCAAATTTCGGTCATTGCAGCCAGTTGTGGAGTACAAGCCAGCATACACAATTGCAGAGGAATCGTTGCAGGGATCTAAAACGCATGACAAGTACGTCGTAGAGATCGGGCATGATGCAGTGCAGAAAATCCAGGCAAGACGCGATGGTGGCCATAGTGCAAGTCAAGACAGCTACAGGGGCAAAGGCAACTATGTGGGAAAGACCACTGTGCAGGCAAATCAGGGTTTTGACACCAGCCTAAAGAAACCGTTACCTGTGAAGCAGCCGGATGTCGAAACCCACTATTCACCAGGGGGTGTGTCATCACACCATAACTACCAGAGTTTACATATAGGGCAGAACAGAACAAATGCAAAGACACATGGGGATCAACTTCATCCCTTGTCTGATGGTTTGAGGAGCGACATGGGATATTCTCGGCAGGGTGACGACACGAGTGACAATTTGTCACTTGCCAGTTTTCAAGACCTGTCTGTGCCTATTTTGTCTGCTGCAACATCAGCTGCACCTGATGCTCCTCAAGGTTACAATGCGACTTATCCTCTTCGTCATGTGGCAGATCCTGGTAAACCACCCCATCCTAAAAGATTAGAGAGACATGAATCTTGGAATGGTCGGCCAAATCCTGCCACAGATCTGGCTCCCAAGGTATCCCAGTCATGGCTGAATGGTGATAAAAAGGGTACTGTGCAACGTCACAACTCTTTCAGTCATGGCACAATGTCGGACTCACAGTATAGCATTCCAGTGCAGCAGCAAGATAGTGGACAGATGAGTAAGTCCACCAACAAGATGCTTCACAGCATAGCAAATAGGAACCATGAAGGGGTACACTATCCAAGGAAGGAAAGTAAGATGCAGTTTGGCAGTGTGCCCAACCTGAACCAGGGTTTTGACCTGAGAGCTAGCAAGTCAGTTTCTGTTCAGAACATTGCGATGGCAGAGGACGGCATTCTAGCCAGCGCGGTGAAGAATAACCTCCAGCAGAAGAGAGCTAGCACCAGTGACGTGCCAATGGGCATGGGAAGTAGCAGTGGGCACCGTCCGTTGCAGGTGAATCACAAACAAATGCCTGGTATGGAGAGAACATTTGTATCATCAACTGGTGGTGAGTGCGCTGAAAACATGCAGCCCTTCTGGGCTGGTCAGCACGATCAATCCAACTCAAAGCATTCACAAAGGACGGACAGAGATCACAATCCAGGATCAGAATCTGGTTGGAATGCAAGTCATCTGGAGTTGCTGAACACTGATAGAGCTCAGAGTAGCATGAGCAATGATCACAAAACAAACAGGCCTTCACAACAGCACATGCATAACAGCAGCCCGATGTCAGGCCAGGGTCTTCGCGACAGAGATTCGGTTGCAAGCAAAGATTCTGGCTACCGAAGCAGGGACAGATCGAGTGCCAGCTCAGGCAGCCTGCATTCCATTGAGGCACCCACAACTACCTGCAAAGGACTCAACACTGTGGGTGCAGCTGAGAAGTCTAACGAAGAGAAACAACTGGACAAGCTAGAGAGGGATGAGAAAGTTTTGAGTTGGACACAAGATAAGGATACGATCTGTGATGAAGTATGTGCCGAATGTGCCATTCTTGAAGCCCAGTCCAGACAAAAAGGAGATGCAGGGGACTTGGCGACAGCTCTAGCTCTTTGCACTGCATCAGTCGGTGAGTAGAAAACAGTAACCGTCTCTTTGACATTAACATAATAATACAAAATTTATATATAATTAAAATTTGAAGCAGTACACTAAAGCAATTGGGTAGGGTTTGCATTTCTCCCAAGACCTCTGTAGAATAGGAGATTTTGTTATACATATAATACTTCTTACATTATGTTTGGGATTCTCTTGAAATTATGTTGAGTTTTGTTTGGGTATGAATTAGGTCAGTCTGAGTTCAAAGATTCATTTTCTTGTTGAAGAAATTTAATCTCAGAACTTGCTGGGGCTAATCTTGGCCAGATTGGTCTTTAATGTAAATTGGAAATGTTTGGTGATGTTCTAGCAGTAAACATCTCATCAGCATTGGAGTAACCAGGAAATGTAACTGGGCTTTCTCTTTCTTAATTTGTTTCAGCCAAGTTGAAGCAGTGCTTGAGAATGGATGGTATATCCCCACAGAAGTGGCAGTCGCTACACAACAGATATAACAACGCCGTGCTGCAGTCCAGAAACCTGCACAGGCGTTTGACTCTATTACGTGGGCTAGATTCCCTCCCTGCTTATCAGAATGACACCACTCCCATCAGGTGAGCCTCGTTCTTTCCACAAACTTCCAGTGTCAGGATTACCTGGCTTAGGCTGGCTACAACCAGTAACGATTCATGTCTGTTGACATGTCTGCAGCCACTAACTCGTGAATTCCATAGACCGTTATCATGATACTGTCGTGTTTGTCTTGTTTCCATAGACCCATTGGCAACAGTAATACATCTCCACTTACTGATAAAAGGGAATAGACTATCCTTCCAGCCTCAGTTTGTTATGCTTTAGTGGTAGAAAGCAAGATGGCTGCTCCGAGACACAGGTCTATAGGGGCATATGCCGCATAGAGCCATAGCCAAGTAATTCAGACACGGCCTTCAAGATTGTAGTCACATTGAAGATTTGGGTTTTAATGGTGGAATCAGGGACTGACTGAAACAGGACTGAGACCTTTAAAGTTCTTGGCAGAGCTAAAAACTGATCGGGAGGTTTTCAGCGTGAGAGGGTTGGACTGAAACAATAGCTAAGACAGAGTAAGGGGCTTCAGAGATTTGAAACAGAGATGTGATTAGATGAGCAAACTTACCTCTTTGTTTTGATGTGTCACTCAGTTCAGCATCATGATGAACACTGATATACCTGGGTGAAAAATGTTGGACATTCTGTATATTTTACACATTGTGCAAGATTTTTTGAAAGGCATTCATTCAACAGTAGCTCTGGTTACTTACTCATATTCAGTACTTGGATCAAAATACACTTTTTTGTATTTTATTTCACACACAGCTCAAGTCAGCTGCTTCAAACAGGCAAAGAACTTGATCTCATCAACTTAGATGATGAGTATGATGAGATCAGTCGCGTTGACGAGCTGAAGCAACAGGTGCATAAGTTGTACATGCAGGAAGAGAAGTTCCACAACACAGCGGTGAGACAGGGCCCAAATGTCCAGACACCTGCAAGAGTGTGGTCAACAGATGCATTGAACGGGAAGAGAACGTTTGAAGAGTCATTGGAGGCCCAAAACAATCACCGTGGAATGACGAGTTTCAACAGGAATCAGAATGCTGACAGTGCGTCATTTATCTCCAAACACTGGTTAACAGACTCACTGAAACCTCTGAGACGTGAAGCGCAGAGAGGCACAGCATATGAATGTCAAAGTTATGGCTTGAGCAAAGATGGAAGGGACAGAAACAGTGCATCCCAGCAAGACTTGCTTGAAGATCCAATGAGGAACAGCTCGGTTCAGCAAGACATGTACAGAGACCTCAGGAGACACAGCATGACACAGCAAGGCACATACAAAGACCTGAGGGGACACGGCACGACACTGCAAGGCATGCGCGAAGATCCAGGAAGACATCTTATGACACAACAATGGAAACACAATGACCCAAGGGGACAAGGCAGGACACAGCAAGGCATTCACCAAGACCAGAGGAGACACAGCATGACACACCAAGGCATACATGTACAAACAGATCCATGGCAAAACAATACGAAGACACCACAGAACAAATACGGTGAGAAATGCAACTTGAAATTTTGATGGACAGTTTCTGTTTGGGTGTGTGTTTTTGATTTTAGTGATTTGCTTTCCTCTTTAGTGGTGTAATTTTTCTTACATTATTTGCACAATAAAGTTTCAGAATGCACTGAGCGTATGGTGCTGATTTAAATTGAATAAACAGAGAATAAGGTGATACTAGTGGAATGATACGGGTTGCATTTAAATAATCTCTGGAAAGCCATATTTGATGTTATGTTAAGGAAGACGAATTAAAGAACTTAGAACAATTTCAAACCAATGATCTGTTGCCAATGATATACGTACCAGTCCAGAAGAGGAATATGATCCGAGCCAGGCCCTCACCAGTCTGTTGCTGACAGCTCTTTCTCTTTTCATTACAACACCGCTATGACAGACAGAACAGGGTCCACACAAAATGTTTGGTTTGGTTCATTCGGCGACTTTCAGTCATTACAGCATCTGTGCACCTATTCACATGCACATTGTACAAGTACCCATGAATACTACTGACCACACCCGTGTGTTGGCCATTGCTCCTTCGCGAAAAAGATTTTCCTTAATTCTTAAGTCATTATCATCGATCCTATATATACTTTTTTCTTTTGTTTTAAAGCAAAGCTTCAGTTTTTTTCTAAAAGTGTATTGAAAATATGGACCCAAGGGAATGTTTGATATACCTGATTGTTCGGTTTAGCAGTGTTTAATATAGCAGCATTGTTCTGCATTAGTAGTTTCACTTGCAGACCATCGGGATTTTGAACCACTGAAATGAAAAATATAATCAAAGTATAGTTCAAGGATATACATGTACATGTATATGAAAAGTTCCTCAAGAATTAAAATTAAATACATATAGTTCCAATAGATTTGATATGTTTTCACCACACCTGCTGCATGTTAACTGGTTGCGTTCAAGCTTGCATTTTTTTTCAAGCTAAATTATTGCACTGTATTGGGATTGCCCAGATGTTTTTCTATACCACATCAAACGTATTTGCTGTTTGCATTATATAGTGAAGTCAACTCTCATAACAAGATTGGTGTGGCCAAAATTGCCTGATTTTAATCACACATACAAAAGAGAGTTTGCATGGTGCTACTACTAACCTGTTACGTTTGGTTGTCGCCTTCACCGTGGGAAATCTTCAAACCTCAACCAGAATCTTCTTATAAAACGACAGGAAAAAATTAAAGAAAACAAAACAAAACAAGTCAAGACATGGGAACCCTCAAAATTTGCTCTTTAAAATAGCATTTTAAGAGCACTCTTTATACCAAGAGTTGACTGTACTCTTCAGTTGTCCCTCAGCGTTCAAATATTAACCCTCACAGTCCTCAATCCTTCACCTGTGGGAGGACTGATGACTGTTAGGGTTAATACCCAAACTGCCAGAAGCAAATCATGTCTACATACTGGTACATGTAGGATGACTAATGAATGGTCCCCCTTGCCCGCAAAACATGCAAGCTATGTTTGACAATTCTGTCACTTTCCATCACCTTTAAATCAGTAAATAGGTACAGGTCTGTGTTGGGACTTTCGTTTAAGGGCTTGTGCTTGGAGCCTGCAGCACCCTCTGAGTGTCTCTGTCAATGCAGGACTCTGAGGTCATCATCATGTGTGAGAGTCTATGTCATGCAGAAATCTGCATGTACACATGTGCTTGGCTCCTGTTGTAAGTTCTTCAACTCAAAACCCCAAATGTACCTGTTTATTGATTTGATTCTGTGATGGGATGGTAACAAGCTGTCAGGCTCAATTCTCACCCATTGCCAGTGTTTAATTTCTTGCATTGTTCTCCACTTGTTTTCAACCACATTTGCTTGCTGATCACCATTTCATATGGACTTTTTGTCGGCAGACTTCACAAGGTAAAGTAACCGGTTGCACAATTGTGCTTAATTTCTTTTTGACTAACCTCACACAGTTGAGGCTTACATGCACACCAAGCCAGAAACCATCAAAAATTCCTGCTTGCTAATCTCTGGAGACTTGCCTGAAGGCTTTGGTGGTTGTGTAACTCACTTGTTACATATTTGAACCCAAACCTGTTCCAGTTTTGGAGACATAAAACACAGCCAAAGAGATTTCAGGAATTTACAATGACATGATCAGCAGAGTTTCTACACATGTATGACATTTAAAAAATGTGAGCATTCCCTATTGGTCATTAGTAATGCACATCAGCAAGCAGACTAAATCTAGATTGAATGAAAATAAACTTGACTGTCTTTGTTGAAGATGTTCCTATTAAAATGTTGTAAACTGTCCTATTCTCTCCATTTTCCTAACTGAAAACATGAAAAACTGAAATGAG